TTCATGCTTCTGTCTATTATAATCATCTTTCTAGTACCCAATTACCCATACTGGCTTTACATGGCATCCTTTTGCCTATTTTAGATATCCTCTCCATTAATTGCTTCAGAGACTTGTCTGTAGCATAATTTGTTTGATGCTTTTCTTCTATAGGACATCATCGTCCACCCGAAGGCGATTCGTGGCGTTCCGGGTTCAGTAGGCAGTCCGATGCCGGGTGAAATTCTGGAGGTGCGCGTGAAGCCTGGCGACCAAGTGACGAAGGGTCAGCCAATGGCCACGCTTTCTGCCATGAAGATGGAGATGGTGGTCAGCGCGCCGATCTCGGGCAAGATATCTCGCATCCATGTGGACAAAGGTATGAAGGTGAACGGTGAGGATCTGCTCATCGACATTGAGTAGTCGAGCTCTGTCACGCCTTAACCATCTTCTTTGTCTTCACCAGGACACAAAAGTCTTGTCTCTTTTGGTCACATTCTAGTTTTTCCTATTGTAGACATTTTTTTACGATCCAACTAGCCTTTTGCTAATCTCATTCCAACAATACCACGTGCTATTCGCGAAAACTGCTCGACATGTTTTTCTATTTGTACCTTTTTCGCCTTTACTTGAACATTCGCGAACATGCAGTTGGTCGTCAAAGCGTTTAACAAATCGGCCAAATTCCCTGTCTTCAGTGACGCTGATGGTTCTGAAAGGATGATCCCTTGTCCCCTAATTGTACTAACTTGTTTTTTCGTTTTTATATACACACAAAGTGCGAAAAAAAACTAATAAAATTGAGCTAAAGTGTGTGGATTCCATCGTTGCCAGGCGTAAAATGAGCCCGGCAACATGGAAAATCCTAAAACTTCCACATTTTTTATTTGCTCCACACTTATTCCCCTTCCTCGACTTCTTCATAGGTATTTCAGAAAATGGAACGTTAATTCAGGGAAGTGAGAAATTCATTGAGCCACTCGTTTTCTCCATTCCCTCTTTCGGATCTCGAATTTTTCTATTGTTTGGTGTTAATACATTGTTTAGCCTAACTCTGTTCTTTTCGCGTATACTGCCTACCATTTTTGTTACTCGGCGTATCCTTGTGTTTCTCTGTAACTTGTAGTTGCTAATTTTATATACATAATTTTCTTAAATTAACATTTTTCCCTTGCTAATGCGTACACTTGTGCTAATTACCAGCAACCTTGCTTTTACCTTATCTGTTGAAACTAGTATCATTTATTTTCGTATTTGAGTAGAGTTTCGAGACTACCAGTAAATCAGTAATATGAGAGGTATTCACCCTATTTCGTCTAGGGTGATGAAGGACTGGTAGTAGAATTTTCCCACAATGATATGAGTGGAGCTGACGTTTCCATACAATTTCACATTTCCTTGCTTTCCCAAAAGTTGTTCTTATCCAGGCACCAGTGGACTGCAGTTTCGACCTCGCATCGGTCTTATCAACACCCCCAGCGGGAGTCCAACCGTGACAGTGCAGAATGGGAGCTTAACACGTTGACCACTCGACCACATTTCCATTTGGTCACAAAACATAAGTGAATTTCAAGGAAGGTTAGGCCTTTTGCCATAGAATATTCTTGGATGGGATTGCCGATGAAGCAAACGTATATTTGCTATAACAATTGACTACGTCACTTATTTTAGTATTTGAGGTCGAAACTGCAGTCTATTGGCGCCTGGATAAGAACAACTTTTGGGAAAGCAAGCCTATGTGAAATTCAATTAAAAAACATTAGCTCTACGCATATAATTGTGGACAAATTCTTCTACCACTCCTTCATCACCTTAAACGAAATAGGTTAAATACATCTCATATCACTCATTTACTGGTAGTCTCGAAAAGCTACTTAAATACGAAAATAAGTAACGTAATCGATTGTTATAGCAAATATACATTTGATTCATCGGTAATCCCACCAAAGAATATGCT